CTTTCTAGTGGATCTCAATAGTTGTTAATAAAACACTAATCTTTTCGCCTATTCACATCTTTTAATGTACACATCGTGCTTTTCTCAGCTCTAAGACTTAGTGCTTTTGAAGCCTGAATTCAGGTTGGCGGGTTAGCTCAGTTGTTTAGAGCACCACCTTGTAACATCAAGGTCAATGGTTTGGATCCTCCTACTGGCCAGCCGCCAGAAAAAAAATCTTAAAAATTTTTTAAAAATTGAAGCCTGAACTCTTGGGTAAGTAACTGTCCTTGATAAAAACAGGAATAACGGAACCTGTATTCAGATTCAGTCAACAGCTGGACCTTGGGCTTGTGAAGTCCCTTAAAAAGGCTAACACCCACACTAGAGTATGGGCCTACTCCAGGCAATTTGGTGAATTCCTCTAGACAAGAGCATTCCTGGCTTTCCTTGCTTTGGGGTATGCACTAGACAGCCAGAGGTACCCATTAGTGCCCAGTTTCCTTCAGGGTGGGCATCTCTGGACCCATAAGCTTGCCAGAATTCCAAAGGAAGGTCATCCCCCTCCTCCATGACCCACGTCCTCCCAGCCCCACCTGGAGTCCAGAAACAGAGAAATCACTCTTTCCATCCTTGACCCAACGCCAGGATCCTACTTTTTTTTTTTTGTCTTTTTCCGTGTCCGGCAACGGATCGCAACCCTCAGTGTTGCGCCCGTACCGGACTGGGACCAGCAACGGGATCGCAACCCTCGGTGTTGCGGCCGCACCTCGCTCAGCCAGTGAGCGGGAACCGGTCTGTATGTGGGATCCGAACCCTCGGTGGGAGCGCCGCTGCGCTCCCCGTGCGCCACCGGGCCGGCCCCTGTTCAGTTGTTCTAATAGAGTCTCAGGCAGCAGAGGCAGGTAACAAGTGTGCTCACGCTTCCATCTTGACCTGGAGAGTGTTCCCATGGTTCCAGCTGTTGGGAAGGCCCTCACTGCACTAACTGGCATCCTCCCTCATGTGAAGCTTGGGCAGTAAGTACAAAGATGGGCATCAGACAACAGTGCCCAAGATGTCTATCTCTCTAAAAGCGACATAGGAAATTTCCAACCCAGCTGTTATAAATACTTCTCTTCCAATTAGTATGGGCCTCCTCCTGGAGTTAGAGATTTATAATCAGCTTAATCAAAGAGAGTGAACTGAAATTATTACAGTGCAGCATGTGGGCTGCAGTATTTCGGAGAACAAGGCAGAGTGAACTGTGAGGGCGAGGGACTATCATGCTGTTAGGTGCCTCCTCTGGGATGAAAGCCTTATTCCTCAGCTGCTGGGAGGGTCTCTGCAGTACCTAGCCTTCAAGATGCCCCCCTAATAATCACTGGCTTCCCAACAAGGTCTACATTTCAAAAGCTGAGATAGTCAGTTCAATAGGCCTTCATCAAAATTCTTTTATTTTTTTGGTGTCTGGCCGATAAGGGGATCCAAACACTTGACCTTGTTGTTATCAGCACCATGCTCTACTGAGTTAACCAGCCAGCCCAAAGTCCTTTTAATTGTAAGAAAATATAAACAAAAACAATCACAGGCTGCTGCTCACATCAAAAAGGTGGAGGCGATTTCCCCTCCCTCAAATCTGCACTGGTCTTAGGACGTGCCATATCCGAGTGATGTTCCAGGACCTGAGGAATGGGAGCTTCCACTTCCTCCTCTTGGAAGCCAGCCACCATGCTGTAAGGACATCTGGGCTATACTGCCATAGACACTATGTGGAGGCCACGTAGGGAAAACTGATGTGAATGAAGCTTTTACGGACCTTCTAAGCCCACCCTGGCTGCCAGCTGAAAACAGCCATATGAGATGTCACAGTGAGACCAGCAGAATGGTCCAGCCAGTCAATTCCAATTGCCCCAACTCCTGATCTACAGAATCAGGAAAAATAACAACTCATTGCTTTAAGCCACTAAGTTTCCAGGTGGTTTGTTACAAACTAATAGGTAACAAACAATGCTGAACCAATAAGGTCTACATTTCAAAACCTGAGATAATTTAATAAGCCCTTATCAAAGTTCTTTTAACTGTAAGAAAATACAAACTAACAAAAACAATAAAGACATCCCATCCCTGAAAATATTTGCAAATTATATATCTAATAAAAGATTTATATCCAAGTACATGAACAGCTATTACAACCCAACAATAAACAGACCAACAACCCAATTAAAAAAGGGGCAAAGGACTTAGACAGTTCTCCAAAGAATCTGCACATCAAAAGGTACTCAACATCTTTAGAAATGCCAAATGCAAATCAAAACCACAAAGAGATACCACTTCACAGCCATTACGATGGCTATAATAAAAAAGACAATAAATAATGAGTGTTGAAGAGAATGGGGAGGAATTGGAGACTTGTAAACTGCTGGTGGGAAATTAAAATGGTAAAGCTGCTTTGGAAAACAGTCTGGCAGTTCCTCAAATGGTGAAATACAAAATTACCATATGGTCCAGCAATTCCACCCCTAGGTATATACCCAAGAGAAATGGAAACTAAGTCCACACAAAAACTTGTATGTGAATGTTTCTAGGAGCACCATTCATAATAGCCAAAAAGTAGAAACAATCCAAATGTCCATCAATTAATAGATATATAAAATGTGATATATCCATCCATAAATAGAATGTATTCGACAATAAAAAGAAATAAAGTACATGCTACAACATGCTTCATGGATGAACCCTGAAAATATTATGCCAAGTAAAAGAATGTTGCAAAAAAACATATTGTATGACTGTATTTATATGGAAAGTTCAGGACAGGCAAACCCACAGCAACATAATGTAGATAAGTGGTTGCCAAGAGCTGAGGGATGAGGGAAAATGGGGTGTGTCTGCTAATGGGTATGTTGCTTCTTTTAGAAAATGTTCTAAAATTAGATTATGGTGATGGTTACAAAACTCTGAATATCCTAAAGACCACTGAATTGTTCACCTTAAACAGGTGAATTGTAAAGTATATGTATTAGTCCATTTCTGTCTCTGCCATATTGTGAAAATATATATTTGGTCTTCATCCCAGTCTCCTGACATACAACTCCTAAAATCCTTAGAATCTCCAAGGTGATGTCTTTTTATACGCTAATGATGGCTGACAGCCCCTAGGTAATTTCAGGACAGGGGGCTGGTCAGGACAGGAAAGACCAAGGTTGGTCCCACCCCTCAAACTTCCAGGTAGGGGAGAGGGGCTGAAGGCTAAGTTGATCACCAGTAGCCAGTGATTTAGTAAGTCTTGCCTATGTAATAAAGCTTCCACAAAAACCCAAGAGTCCTGGGTTCAGAGAGCTTCCAGATACTTGGAGGTTCCTGGAGGATGGCATGCTTGGGAAGGACATGGAAGCTCCACACCCCTTCTCACATACCTTGCCCTATGTGTCCCTTCATCTGTATCCTTTGTAATATTCTTTATAATAAACTGATAAACCTAAGTACGTGTTTCCCTGGTTCTGTGAGCTGCTCAAACAAACTAGTTGAACCCAAGGAGGGGTTGTGGGAAACCCGATTCATAGCTGGTTGGTCAGAAATTATAGAGGCCTGGATTTGCTACTGGCATCTGAAGTGGGGGGCAGTCTTAAGGACAGAGCCCTCAACCTGTGGGAGCTGATGCTATCTCCAGGTAGATAGTGCCAGAATTGAATTGAATCAGAGGACACCCAGCTGGTGTCCACTGGAGAACTGCTGGCTTGCTTGCCGGTGGGGAGAAATCCCAACACACTGGGACACAGAAGTCAGTCTTCTGTGTGTGTTGCTTGTTGTTGAGTAAGAGCATAGAGGGGAAAAAAGGGAAAAACACGACACTGTGTGTTTTTCCCATACCAATAGTTGCTTATAACGGAAATATTTGAAATATAAATTAGAAATAGAAAAAGAAATTATTTCTTACAGTTTCAGAGGCTGGGAACACATCTGGTTAGGGCATTGGTGGTAGCTCTACAGTGATGATGCAAGGTATCCCATGGTGAGAGTGACGGGAGCAAGAGAGAGCTAACTCTTCACTTGCTGTCCTTTTAAAGCCATCAGAACCATGCCCATTACTCCAGGAATGGAAGGCACAATCCTCACAATCTAACCATCTCTTAAAGGCCCCACCTTTCGATTACCATAATATGATTTCCCACCCTCTTAACATAGTTACAATGGGGATTGAGCTTCAATGAGCTGTGGGGGGACATTAAATCCACAACAGTATGTGAATTAGATCTCAATAAATAAAACTCTTAAAAAAGGAAAAGGGCTGGCTAGTTAGCTCAGTTGGTTAGAGCGTAGCCTTATAACAACACCAAGGTCAAGGGTTTAGCCACCAAAAAAGAAAATGCTTATACCCACAGTTCAGAGCCCACCCCCGCCCCACCTCAGTATGTGTGCTCTTGGTGCTCTTCCTTGCACAAACGTGTGCTCACAAACACACATTTTTTTTCATTTCCATTAAATTTCACTTCATTTCTATCATTTTGCTTCATTTCTACTAAAATGGCTTTGCCCCAGGGAGCACACACGTATGAAGGGAGGTGGTCACATGAATCCCAAGAGCCCAGGCAGCAGAAATCCTTCTCCCTACTCCACCTGTGATGTTCAAGGCCTCAACTCAATGAGCATCACCTTCCTCACTTAACAAAGGGGACAGGAACCCTTCTCATCCCACACGTCAGGGCCCTGTGGGGCTCAGGAGGGCTGAGGCTGGGGACAGAGCCAGTTTTTACCCTCAGCATTCCTCCCTTCCACAGGGGCACTGGGGGCCTGAGTGAGTGCCCTGCAGGATTCAGGGGGGTTGAGCAAAGGTGCTGGCAGTGAGGTCTGTGGCTGGAAGCTGGCCCTGTACCATGGACACACGGGAGGACCCAGAGTGCTGCAGACAAAGCTGACCATGCCCATGAACAGTCAGTAAGCAAGCACCCTGCCCCCACTCCCCAAGAGTTTCCCAGAGTTGGCCACGCTCCCCTCCAGGAGCCTCTCTGCCAGGGAAACTCCACCTACCAGGGCCTTACCCGGGTCTTGGCCTTCAGGAACACATGGCTCTCCATGTCCTTGCTAGATTTACTGTGGGCCACACCAGCTTTCCTCATGGCATCCTCACTGAAACACAAAAGAAGAAACATTTACACACACCAGCAAGTCAATTGCTGCAGGGACCCTGGCCAGCAGCCGCCCCTGGGTGGACGAGGTGCTGTTCCTGGCACACCAGCCTGGCTGAGATCCAGGAGAGGGGTGCTCAGCAGAACGACAAAAGGCAACTGAGCAAGGGAGTCAGGCAGGGCCATGAGAAGGAAGGAATAGGAATGGTGGTCACCGTGAAGCAAAAGAGGGAGCTCCGGGCAGGAGGAGACAGGGGCCCAGCCCCTAGAGATTGTTCACATCCAGCACAAAATTAGTATGCAGTAGACCATGGGGTGGCCAGCTCGCTGGCTGGCCTCTATTTCCTGCCCTCTGAGTGGCCTACATTCCTACTCAACTCTGACATTAAGAGCACGGTGGGACCCCAGGTCCAGATTTCTCCTCTGTAAAATTAAGGGGCCACACCAAATCATCTCTCAGTCCCTCCCCAGTGCAAGGACTTCTCCTAAAGGGACCAAAGAGACAAACCCCAACTTCAATAACTTCTAGGTGGGGATAGGAGACAGAACATATAAATATGGAAAATAATTTAAAAACACATTTGCCGGGCCGGCCCAGTGGCGCACTGCTACAGTGCGCTGCTTGGGAAGCGCGGCTGCGCTCCTGCTGAGGGTTCGGATCCCACGTACAGACCGGCCGCTCACTGGCTGAGCGAGGTGCGGGAGCAACACCAAGGGTTGCGATCCCGTTGCCGGTCCCGGTCCGGTACGGGCGCGACACTGAAGGTTGCGATCCGTTGCCGGTCACGAAAAAAGACAAAAAGGAAAAAAAAAAAAAAAAAACACATTTGCCAACACACATATAAGAGATGGAATACTATTAAAGGTTTTTCATTACACTGATGCTCCATGGGATAGAGCTGTGAACATCAGCTAAGCCTGAGCTCCCCTTGAATGGTGATAGAACATGCTCCCACACAAAAAAATAGAAAGGAAGTGGCACATAAGGCTTGGGCCGCAAGGTCTGGCCTGTGTCCCCCGGGGGACTGGATGCTCTGGTCTACTCACAGCCTGCATTCATCCCCCTATGATGGACCTCCTCCCTGCCTGTCTCCCCACCACTGGGCTTGCTGATAAACAAATAAATGAACAAGCCTGTCAGGGCTCTTGGGCCTCATCTCTGAGTGAATTAAAGAAGCCCTGTCCAGCTGGTGCTGGAAAGCATTCCGACCACTCCAAACACAAACCAACCAGCCCCAGGGTACTGGAAGAATGTGCACATGGGGCTGCAGCATCACGTTTGTGACCCCTAAAGAAATCACAGAAAGGAGGCTTACTGCTAAGAGACATTTAAGTCCTAATGTAAGAAGAAAAATAAAATGACATGGACCTGTCACATTGCTTAGATAACTCACTCAACAAACATGTTTGGAGCTCCTATCTCTCTGTTTGCTTCCTGAAACCTGAACTGAGGCAAGGGGCAGCAACAAGTTCCTGCCAACAGCGCATCCAGGAGCAGACGAGGGGAGAGGTCACTAGGGCCACAAGAGACATGAGAGGAGTGATGCAGGAGTATAACTCAAGAACCAGCCCATGAGCAGTGCAGGATCAGACTCAGGATCAAACCCATGAGGAATAGAGGCACAGGCACAGGCAGGCTGGGAGGCTGGCCCGGGAGGACCTGGAGCGCATGTGCTGAGGCTGGTGCGGGGCAAGTGCTCCACATGTGGAGGTTGAGACATCACCTGGCAGGCACTAAGGAGTCACCAAACATTTTTGACAAGAGAAGTGACTGAGCAGACCTGTTTTCAGAAGGTTACCTCACCTGTGCCCCTCCTACCCAAGACCGTACCTGTTCCTCTTCCCACCTTCTGACAGCAGTGTGTAAAGGGGACTGGGAGGCAAATCCTGCCACACAGAATGGGAGGGCCATGGGTGGCAGGTGCAGCCAGGAGCCACAGTGTGAAGAAAGAGGAAGACAGGGGTGCTGAAGAATCTGTGGATGAGAGATGGTTACACAGAGGGGCTCTGTGCCCAAGAGCAGCGATCACTGAGGGCTAAACCAGGCACCTAAAAAGCAGTCCTCCTGAGCCACTGGCGGCCACTTTCGATAGGGTCAGCAGACTAGCAGGCCCCAGATGCTGTGTGTCTTGACTGCAGCAAAGACTCCTGGCATATGCACAGGGACAAGACCCAGAACATGGCTTAGTTCAATAGCTTCAAAGTAGTGGGAAGACCAGGTCGAAGAAAAGGGCTTGGTGAGCCAAGGGCAAAGTGGCGCCAGATGTGAGGGGATGTGCTGGAGGACCAGCCCTGCCCGGTCCTGGCCCAAGGCAATGTCACAGATGACCTGGACAGTGTAGGCACCAACTGTAAGTAACTCAGAGCCAGAAGAACATCAACCACACTGGAGGCCAGAAACAGGCATATCTTGACAAGCTAGAACACTCCCTCAACAACAGGAAACGGCATTCAGGTAAATGTCCAGTTGTGCCATGAGCTGTGGAAGGGGCAGTGAGTATGCCAGGGCTGAGGGGGAGGGTGCTCCTCCAGCCAGGTGCCAGGGATGAGAGGTAGCACCAGGCTGTCTCACTCCCACATCCCTTCCATGGTGCCTGCCCCAAGAGCCTTTTCAGGTTTGGTAGCTGAAGAATAAACAAAGATGCCCTGAGCACTGTTTTCAGCTCTGTGTACCACATTTATTTATTTATTTTTATTGAATCATAATTGATTATATTTTTGGGATTCAATGCTGACATATGTTGATCAAATCAATATTATTAGTATGTATATTGTTACAAATTGTACTTATTCTTTATGCCCCTTGTCCAATCTCTCCCCATCCCCCTCCCTCCCCCCTCCCACCACTGATAACCCTAGATTTCTTCTCACCCTCCAAAAGAGTAATGGTTACTCTGTTGATTTGTTGCCTAGATGACCTGTCAAATGCTGAGAGGTGTGTTCAGATCCCCCAATATTATAGAGCAGATGCTTCTTCTGTCACTCGGGGCTTTGTGGAGAGAGACATCCTATTCTTTTCTTTGGTCTCTACAAGTGATTCTCCTTGTGTCAGTGCACTCCAGTGGCTGGTGGACCATCTGAGTGGTAGTTGTGATGTCTAGCCACTTTTGTGGCAGCCATGGTTACTGTGGTGGCTGTGGTGGGCCACCCACAGGGAGGTGATATTTTTAGCATGCTCCTTGGCTCTAGTGGTGTTCCTGGGTGTGGGCAGGGTGTCCGTCCCCAGCTTCAAGGCCCGGGCCCCTGTGTGGGGCCCAAGGCATTGGTGGTGTGCCTGGATGTGGGCAGGGTGTCTGGTCCTGGCTCAACACCCCGGGCCCCTGGGCGGGGCCCATGGCATTGGTGGTGTACCTCAGTGCGGGAGTGGGGTCCGATCCCTGGCTCCACACTTCAGGTCCCCTGGTGGGCCCCAAGGCACTGGTAGTGTGTCTGGGCCAGAACAAATTTTTTGTCCTTTGCTACTTCGAAAACGGGGGAACTTCCGGTGGGAACCAGTACTTGAGCTGTGTTATTGAGCTAAATTGCTGCTTTGCTGCTGTTTCCCTAGGGAAGACTTTTTGAGCAGCTGAGGGTTTTTTTTTTTTCCTTTTTGTCTTTTTTTGTGACCAGTAACGGGATTGCAACCCTCGGTGTCACACCCGTACCGCAACCGGCAACGGGATCGCAACCCTCGGCGTTGCGCCCGCACCGCGCTCAACCAGTGAGCGGACTGGTCTCTATATGGGATCCGAACCCTCGGCGGGAGTGCTGCCATGCTCCCAAGCGCCGTACTCTACTGAGTGCACCACCGGGCCGGCCCCAGAGCAGCTCAGGGTTTAACGGCTGATCTCATAGGTACTTCTGGCTCCTGGGCTATGTAGAAACTCTGATCTGGGCCTGAATCTTTTCATCAAACTGTACCCCATGCAATTCTGCATTCCCAACTATTCTCCTCTGAGTGGTCTTGTGCTGACTGGGGGGCGGATCAGCTGTCCTTGCTGTGTCCCAGTGTTTTCCTGGTGGGCCCATCTCCCCTACCTCCTGTGCTCCAAACACTTCCCATGGGACGGACCCTGCGCTGGTCCCTTGCGATGTCTCACTGGCCTCTGAACATCTTCCCTTTTTCATCTGTTCTGGCTCCTCACTCCTGTGTGGGTCCATGGGAACCCTATTAGTGGTCTTGCTGTCCTGGGGGCCACCAAGGCTCTCTTCTCTCCTGCTGACTCCAAGCAACTCCATCTGAAGGGCACAGCTGCTGCTTCTGCCAGCTCCTGCTCCATGTGCCTGGCAGTTCCAGCCTTAAAGCGGCTGCGGCCTGAAACACTCCAAGCAGTTTTTTCCTTCTCTCATCTAGGCTTCTCCCCCTTCATGAACTCCGTAGGTCTCTCCTCCTCTTCCCCTGTGCTCTAGCAGCTCCATTTTGACTGTTGTTACATTTTTATAGTTATAAATCAGTTGACTGTGGGAGAGAGTGATGCTGGAGACCACTATTCCGCCATCTTGACTGGAACTCCTGCAAACCATATTTTTGTGGGTTTTGCTCCTGTTTCTAGTCTGAAGATCATGCTCCGTAAAATAAAAGACAAAGCAAGAAAGAACCCAGGCAGCTCTGCTCTCTGTTAATATCCCACATTTCCTCGGCAGAGGCCTGCCCTTCCTTCTCCATCGGCTCAGTGTTTGTTCAGAGGCACCCATTTTTGAGCAGTGACTACATGTGGGCACATTTCACAGTTGGGCTTAGGTTGGGTCCCCCTCCTTCCTCCCTCTGGGACCTAATGAGCTTACTGTGTCAGATTGTGGTCAGGACCCAGTCCCACCTTTGGAGCAGCAGGCTGCTATCCAAAGTCCCATTCTGCTCTGCCTGAGCTGGGCTTTGCTGCAATCCCCAGAATGCCTTCCTGAGCAGCTGGATCTGAACAGCCACTCCTGTCTCTGTCTCTTGAAAACAAAACTCTTCCAGAAACTGTCACTAAATGAACATAAATGAAGGTAAACTATGGTACAAGGAGAAAGCCCCCAAAG